TTGGTTCCCTTCTTCCTCTCCTTAATCGATCGCAAGTCTGCTCCCCTCCCGCATTTCTTCTTCTCTTGCTAATTCCTCTTCCCTAGCCTTCACCTCCAACGACGACGTTCCCTTCCTGGTCGGATCGGAAGTTACGACATTTTAATCGGAAGCAACGACGGAAAGCTCGATCACTGTAAAGGAAGCTTTCTCCCATTCGCGTACTTCTTCAGCTCCTTCGTTGCTGGTCGACTTCGCCCCTTCGATGACGCTTGTTTGCCGTCGGATCGGAAGTTACAACATTTTGATCGGAAGAAACGAAGGGAGCTCGCTAGCTGTGAAGGTGACTTTCTCCCTATCGCAAGCTTCTTTGGCCAAATCCCTTGGACCTGCCGACCGAACTATTAGAAACAGTGTTTAACTCTCTGTTTGTTTAACAAGATTTAGTAAAATCCTGCTTGAATGCGAGAAAAATCCTGCATCAAAGCTTGTATAAATCCTATGTTATTAATTATAGTTAGTTTACTGTTAATTATAATTAATTTCAATTAATTATAATTGATTCTAAGTTAATTATAATTACTAATTATAAGTAATTATGATTAATTCTCATTAACTACAATTAATTTGAGTTAATTATAATTAATTTTTATTAAGTATAATTAATTAATATTACTTATAATTAATTTTAGTTAATTATAATTAAAATTCATTAAGTATAATTAATTATACTTATTATAGTTAATTATAATTAAATTTCCATTAACTAAAATTAATTTAGTTAATTATAATTATTTTTTCATTAATTATAATTAATTAATTATTAATTATAATTGATTTTAGTTTATTATAATTAATTTTTATTAATTATAATTAATTGCTCTTATTTGTAATTGGTTGTTGATGTGAATATGCTTCCCTTGCCTCGATTTGTGTGTCAACACTGACGTCCATCCGCGCAGGTATAATTTTCTAACTCAAAAATCCCGCTGTCGATGCTTGCGCCGAGCCGGCAAACCTCTATACGCACTTACGTAGCACGGTGGGAGGGAAATATGTGTGACGCTTACGACGAGGTGGGTAATCCTCATAGTGCTCACGTAGCGTGAGGGGGACGAAAAATATGTACCAATGCGTGGGGAAACAACTGTGCTCTTTTAAACAGGTGTTAGTGACCCTTAAACGCTCATGTAGTGTAGCTGGGATTGAAGAAAATGCAGCTACGGTGTCACCTGACATCTACCTGAAGCGCTCATGTAGCGTGGAGGGGAAGACTGCCTCTTGATTTTTCCCTTAAATGGGAGAGACGCTGGGAGGCTACCAAAATTTTCACTAAGCAAGGGGACTTGGACTTGAGCTTGGACCTGAACAAAATCTAAGTAATTAATAAAGAGTTGAACTCAAGTAAAATGAAATTGAACTGAAATCAAACTGGAATCAATTTTGGACCACAGGGGATTGGTCTTGAAAATTTTTGAACAGCAGGGGACATATTTTGAACTCAAATGAAATGAACAAGGGACCCAACTGAACTGCAAAAGACTTGAACTTTTACTCAAACTCGGACTAGAACTTGAATTCGAGATCGAACCTATTTTGAACTTGAATCTGAATTGAACAACAGGAGGTTGTGCTTGGAAGCTATTGGACTTCAATGAACTAGAACTAAGATGATGAAATGCACAAACTAAATACACAAGAATGTGTGAAGGCTTGTGATGAGCCAAAGGGCTACAAATACAAATCACTTGTGAGCAAATGAAGAGGCATAGTGGACAAGGATAATTCTTATATCCCATTCACAAACAACAAGCAATATGAATATGCAATTTGATTGTAGAAAATGTTGCAGAACTTCTAATCCACATAGAAACGATATGAAACTAGTGGTGTTCATATCAATCAACTAACAAGTCTATGTTAGAGAAGCTTGAAAGCATTAAAAGGGGGAGCTATTAGTGGATGTGATTTTTGATATGCAAAGAAGGGCACAACCCACACCTGATTGTGAGCATGAATACAAGATTTTCATAAAGCATAACGGCTCATTTGTGGGGGCAGGTAACGATCAATAAACAAGTAAATACACTGGTCTTCTACAATGTAGAATCAATTTGCAGGTAACGATCAACGGGATAACACTTGTAAATGATTGTATACAACAATAGAAATTAGTTAACCTATAGCAACGTCTTTTAAAAGACTACAATTTCTTATAAGTTCTGAAGATATGTGTACCATGAGTTTAGTAAGATAATATGTACAAGAGAATTGCTGATGAGTATAACTCAATCAGCAGTCAACAACAACAATGGAAGTTCATCATGCAAACTACAATATGTTCCCAAAGAGATTGAAAGGATTTGTAATGTTCAACATGACTCATACACAAACAACATAATTTGCAAGATAGATGAATATGAATAAATATAATAGCACCTATGTCATCGACAACAGTTCAATGTCCATAAAGTACATTGATAAAAGAAATTAATACACAATGGACATGACAAGCAATGCATTCAACGAGTTTGAAATAAATGCACCAATCTCTTAAGATATGAGGCTAGTGCGCAGTAAATGTGACGATATTATGTGAATGACATCCAAACACAAGCAAATGCCTACAAGTAACACTGGAAGATTTACAATACATATGGGTTTTCTAGGAAAAAAATGTAAGCACTACACCTCACATGTTGTAGCAGATGTACTGCAAGGACCAGAGACCACAACAAAATGCATAAAAATACAACAAATGCAAGTTCCTATGAACTACAACAGAAGACCTGTCACATACACAAAATACCATCCATGAACAAATATAAAAGGGCTCCAATGAATGCATATTCCTAAGAGTCATTGTATGAGGCTTGCTATGTGAATAATATACTGTCTGGGATCAAATGCAGAAGACCTTCAATAAGTATAAGCTTCTACGAACCAAAGCAGGAGATTAGTCAGTGCATTATAATCTACATGTATAAATCATGTAAGTAGTGCACGACAGTCTACCTGTACAAAACAACAAACGGCTCAATCCATAAGCTGCTACATCACACCACCGGATCCGCAACATCCAGTAAGAGGACAGAAAACGTTTACAAGCTGCCACGCCACACCACGCCACGCCACACCACCGGATCTGTAACCTGTATGTAAGCAGACATAAGGCGTATACAATCTTCCAAATAAAATGCTGCAATCAAATGGTGGTCACCCGCACAATTGAACAACGTCAAATATTATAAAATGCCCCTGTTTATGCACCGTAATTTGTATACACATAGATACACAAAAGGGTAAGTGTAATCACATGACCTGCGTGGGCTCGGAGAACATGTTTTCGAACATACATGACGTCTACGGATGTTTTGCGGGTCAATAAATTTGAACACAATCCTCCAAAGCAGGTAAATAAGAGTCGACAAGGTTCAATAAATAATTATAAAATGCCCTCAAACACATGCATTGGCCCCGACGATCGTGTTATAAGTACACATGTGACGTCTAGGGATGTTACGCAGGTTAATAAATAAACCCAAGTTCCTGCCCGATCTTTATGTGCGGGTAGACAGGAGTCAACACGGCTCTAACCATTAAATAAATATGTAGTCACGATGTTGACCGAGATATTTATTTTATACATTCATATTAGGCCTTAAAGGACTTCAACAAAGAAAATTCATCAACAAAGGTTCAAAGCATATGACGAACCCGATCCTACGTCGGCAACTTGACAGAGTCAACAAGGTTTAATCAAGAAAATCTATGACCCCATAACCACCCCGATAATGGCCATGTTGAACGTGGACATCAACCGGAGGGGTTAATTTCAAAATTTCACCCAAATACCCATTTGAAATCCAAAATTTCCAAAATCCAAATATTTTAAATTGAAATAAACACATCATTTTGCTTAATTCCCGATCCGCAATAATTTGCCGGGTGGACAAATTAAAATTTACTTCAGCTCATATAGAACTGATGCCTAGTCGAAAATGTCACTATGATCCATTTTCAAATAATCTCATGTCAGTAAATACATGTGTCCTCTGACCAACGGTTTCGCCGCCAAATGGAACTGTAAGATAAAATGGTTATGAGCCGAGGCCCTTTGAACTGAGTAGTTTGTCGTCAAATGACACCACTAAATTATGGTTATGACTAGAGTCAATACGTTCCTTAGTACATCAAATCCTTGAGATATGAATCAATAGGATATAATTGATAGGGCACGAAGCCCTTTGTTAGCTAAGGTGGGTTCAAATTTGTCCCTTTAGACAAACATTCATCCCAGTTCTACAAGGTACCCTTGGACGAAGCAACCCATGGTTGCCAACAAGGATGGTTGGGTCGACTACCTCCTTTGACTAAGTAGACCAGGGACCACAATGGCCCGGGACGACGGAACAATGGGATCTTGATCGGGTCCATCATCTATTCCTACACCATCCGTTTTAAGTACAAGATGATGAAATTTCAAATTTTAAATATCAAATGTCAAATACTCAAGCCCATGCTGCTACTATATGCCAGATAACACGTATCTCTATGTATCTGATTAACAGCTAGCCTTAATAGAAAGTTCTCTCTCATGAGCGGGATGGGTAATTAACTATAGGGGCTCGCGTCTATAGGAAACCAGAACTCATATCATAAAGTCCTCGCAAAATGAGGGCAAAATATTTGGGTAGTGTCTTATCTACAAACCCATCTGTCTTCTAAAATTTACCCCATAACTTAATTTCGTTAAAACTCTCCCGAAAAACAAACAGGTGGAGTCCGAGGCCGAATTCTCGGAGCCCACACAAGTAAATAAGAAAAAAAATGCAAGAAAATAATATTTAGGTTATAAATACATAGCACAAATACTAATTAAAGCAGTCCTTGTGTTTTGAGTAGGATGGACCCTTTTCTCATTTGGAAATATAAGAGTCAAGAACTCAACAAGAGTTAACAACAACAGTCAATCATTGCTTTCTAATGGTTTCTTGTTTCCTATGTTGATGTTCCCACAGGTATCTTGAGGGAAAACCAAACCACTGGCAGCAAAACCACAGCATTGTGGTGACGGACATTATAAATGTCAATAAAATGAACATAGTCCTCCATGTGACACACACCATGAACTATCAGAATATGGTTGAGAGGGACAGCCGACGAACTGATCTTGTCCTCGAGTTGAAGACGATCTTTGAAGAGCTCTCCATTCAGTACAATCTCCTTCCTCAGGAGGTGCAGCTCAGCTACATTGGGGCAAACCCATTGCCAATGTCAACCTGCAATGCTCAAGCTTGAATCTTGTCGCTTTTTGAAGGAAATTCAAAATTTTCTACAGGTTTTGTTTTCACTACCATGCAGTTTTAAAATTTTTACTGGAAATTGAATTTCTTAAGAGCAGAAGTGGCTTTCGAAATCATATTTTATCTGTTGTTGAGATGTTTTTTTAATTTTGATGGTTTTTTTTTTTGCTTAAATCCGCTGAAATGAGAGTATTACATAAATTTTTGCTGCCCTAGGTTACACCGGGTAGAGTAGGGGTGGCATCCGATGTTCCAGGAGCCAGCTTCTAATTCTGAATTAACTTGAGAGGAAATTTGTATTCTTATATTCTCATACTAATTGTTCTCGTTGATGTGTTAAGCATTTTCAAAGAGTCATATGACATCCTGAAATTAAAATTTTTTTTTTTGATAAAGGGGGTTGGGAGTAATAGTCTGGGTTGAAGCCTAGACAATGAGTGGCTCCTAACTGGCTTCTAAGATAGCTAATTTTTTTGAAAAAAATGGGGGTATGAATGAACAAATACTATATTGGGGGGGGGGGGGGGGGGAAATATTTTAAGTTTGATAAGTAAATGTTTAGGCCATAATGGATGAATTTTCTTGGGAATTCCATAGCTAGGTGTGCTCATAATAGAGCACTTTCAGATGGGTAACTTCTGGAGAGTTTATGAAAAAGGATAAAATTATGAGTTTCAGTGGGGTATGTTATGAGTTGGAGTAAAGTAGATAAAGTCTTGGATAGTATCTCCTTGGCTGTTATAATTTATATTAAAGTCTTACATCCTCTAGATTAATGTGTTAATTTTGAATGAATCATGATTGGTGGGTTTATGACATGTTCAATCAAAGAGGGCGGAAGTGATCGTCAAGGTTGAGAAAAATTATTACGTGAAGTAACCGGACACATCCGGAGGTCAATTTGGACGCGCCACATCCCCCAATGCACTGTGCATTGGATGACATGGCGTGCCCGGATTAGCCTCCGGATGCGTTCGGACTTCGCACAGAATAATCCCTCCAAGGTTGAAGCTCATATAAGGAACGACTCTTCTTACTTTTAGGATGACAAGATTTTTGAGGAAAAGTGGGCCATGAATGAACCAGATTCCATTTCAAAAGAGGAGAAAAATACATCATATATTTAAGTAAAGAGCTAGACTAAAATGCACAAAATGCCTTTTGGTATAATAAGTTACTTTTTCTTGAGAATTTTGTCTTAAGCATGCTTGTAATGGAGCACTTCTTGGATGGATGATATTCTAGGAAGTTATACCCAAATGTTATAACCATGAGATTTAGTTTTGCATGAGATTAGGCTGTCTCCAGAGGACAATATATTGAATAGTATTATCTGGGTTGTTATAGGCCAAGTCTTTGGATTATTGCAGGATGTATTTATTGTGTCACTAGGGAATTAGATGTTTCTTCTCGCATTAGCTTGATCTTCTCCACCTCCCCTTCCTTGCCATTACTGTATTGATAGAAGACATAGGTTCGCTTAACCATTAATCATTATGGAGGTACTAGAGGAAGTTGCCATGTATTAGTGGTTAATTGATTGGCCAGGTGGATTGGTTATTATTACATTAACTACAGGTAGAAGGGTGGTACTTACAATTCATCCTTGTGATGGTTTTAGGGAGGGGTGCTCAAATTGCTAACCTTTTGCATTAGCCCATTGATTCCTATCCTCAAATATTAGTTTTTACAAGACTAGCTACTAAGCCCGAGGGTGTCTATAATCCACTTAATGATTTAGTTTGAGACTATCTCATGGACTTAGATTAGTTTGTGATTGATACATTTTACAAAGGGTGTCAAATCTACTACCCATATAATCTCTTTTGCTTTTAAATCCTTTTTTTTAGTTTCAAAAGGAAGGTTTAAAAAAAAAAAAAAAACTCCTCTTCAACTTATTGGAGCCAAAATCAATTATCATATTGTAATGAAATTCGATAATTGAGGATTAGGGTTAGTTTTTCATGCATGATTATTGTTCCTCTTGGAGTTCTCTTTGGTGTTTTGGGCTCTAAACTTCTAGTCTAGAGATTGGGAGAGAACGATCCTCCTCTCGAATTGAGAATCACTTGTATCTTTGTTTCATTATTGCTTCGCTTTGATTTCTATAAGATTATCTACTATTTTTTATTATTTCCACCAAAGTTCTTTTATTTTTCTCGCTGTTTTACCAATTATTGTTATGTTTGCTTGCGAACTCAAGTATTTCCCATTAGGGTTACTTGCGAACTCAAGTATTTCCTATCATGATGCTGTTACTATTCCTGATGATACATATCATTTTTGCTTATATTATGGACCACGATGTGATCTGTTACAAACTAAGTAATTAGTACAGATAAACGACATAGTATTGATGCATAGATTTCTTTATATTATTTACAACATATTATTTCACTTCTTATTTTATTGATTTTAGATACTATATTTTAATTACTTGCTGGAATATTTGCTCATTACTTTGTTTATTTGATTTCAGGTTAAGGAGTCTGCATATTGAGGTTGTGTATGCATGCAGTGATGCTAGTGTAGCTTTTATTTCAGCTCTTTGGTTTATGTTTTTCTTTGTAGCTAGAGTGGCTATCATATATATTATTTTGGACTCTATCTTTACGATATAATTCTGAACTATATAAATATAAATTATGTTTTCCACTGTTTATTAATTCTCTGTAATGAAATTAATTCAGCTCTGGATGTTGATATTGATCTGATTTCAATAGTCGATTAATGAATAGAATGAATTGAGAAGATATTAAAGATTGAAAAGAATAAGACTAAAATAAATTCTTTCACTATAGATCCCTTGACATTTGACATGATATATTTCTTGTTTTACATCTAGTATTTGAAATCAATTTACTAATATAATTTATAGATACTTCCAAAATGATGCTGCAGAGATATTATACCAAGAAGAAAAAGATAATTTTTCAGAAGCTGCAGAAATTGATATTATTTGAGACAGTTTTATTTTTTTTTTTTTAATTTTAAGTTCCATTCTTTGTCAATTTCATGTGGCTTATGAAACTCTGCAAGTTTTAAGTAGAGTGCAATCTAAATGAGTTAGCTACATATAAGAGTTATTGAATGAAGGTATCTTTAAACTGTGAGAAAGAAACTTGTATTGTTTCCTCCAGCCCCACAGAACAGTAAGCATACATAAAGGCTAAATAAATTCATGAAAAGGAAAGATGCAAGTGACCTGTTATCCAATAATATAAATTGAACTAAACATGCCTACATCATAGCACAAATAAATATATTATATAGTTTAATCTATCAAAAATCAGCATATTTAATGATGCCAAGCCCATTAGACTGAAGCCATAACTGCTCATGCTAATAAGTAATAAACAACCTATTATCCACGCTAAAACTTCAAAACCAACAGAACGGGCGGTAAAACTGGAATGGAAAATCAGATGAGTGGCTCGTTGGCTTGTTACAACATCGCGAGTCGAGCTCGAGCTCGACTTTTGAACTTGACTTGAGTTTGAGCTTGATATTTAACTCACGAGTCGAGTTCGAGTCAGGCTCAAACACCCCCTGACTCGAAGTCGACTCGACTCGTTTACACGCCTAGTCGGAAACTATTTTGATCATTTAGAAAAAGTTAGGGGGTCATTTCAATCCTACTCTTGTGCAAATAGATTCCAATGAATAAACTAGGCATATTTAATTGCAAATAGGCAAAAAGAACATGCAATCTTGAGAGTTTGGAACTAAATTGATTGATAAAGCTAAGCTAGATAGACGATCATCATGACACATGATTTTAAGAATTGTTGAGAACTTCATATTTTGCTAACTATAGTTTACGAAAAATGAAAAAAAAAAAAAAATTGCACAAGCACAAAAATTATGGATCCATAATCACAAATTTATCTTTTATCTTGTAAGAAAAGAAAGTAAGGTTTCAGCATACATAACGTCCAAATCCTTTAATTGATGCAAAACAGGAGCTCATGCTCACACAAAATTATAAAACATAAATATGTGAATCTTCTAGAATCTTGGATTGTAATTCCAAGTTTAGATGGATGGCCTCCACCACATTACAAAACCATGAGGATTTCTAATATAGAACATCATAGCAATTATCAATGCCCCATCACAAAATCAAGGGCTAGATATCAAGCAAAATCAAATTCTATAGATCATCAAGCACAAGGATCAAATCATGATGACCATAAGGAACTATCATAATAAGAAGGATCAAGTGCATAAAAATTTAAAGCTCAAAATGACATGAAAAATTTGAAATTGAATTTACTTCCTAAAATTTCAAAGTTTGTATTTTCACTTAGGGATTTATTTTCTTTTATTCTAGAACATTTGGAAAGTTTTTCCATCTTGCATAACCAGCCATGGCTCGCTCCTGGAAAAAAAAAAGGTTTAAAAGGAGGGTAGTTGAGGTGGTTTTAACCACCTAACCACTTTTAGTGGGATGACCCTATTTCCCTACTTTTTCTTAGTATTTGAATTCGAATTGCTTAGAAATGATTGTAATACCTCAAATGATTTTGGGAAAGATAAATGATGTGAAACCATGCAAGGAAAATAACAACTGCTTGGGGATTTTAATATTTGATTATCAAAACTTGCTAGTTATAGACTTTGTGTTTTCCCAAGTTAGATTTTCAGAATTATCAATTAGAAATTATGTAAGTGATGTGGTTACAACTAGATTAACGTGATGCTCTCAATTTAACAACATAAAATGGAGAAAGTAATGTTATGACAAAGAAACAATAATCCACAATTTAATAAATAGAACTGTTCACCTTGGGTCCCTCACTCACACTCTTGATGGTTGGGCTTTAGCGAAGGAAGATCGAGAACAAGCCGAGCAATGTCACTAGGAGACAAATGGTGCCCACGACATAGTTCGTTGGAGAAGTAGCCGGTGGCGGGGAATCCACGGGATGACTAGTGAGTATCCAACACCCGGCAGGAATGTGCTCCTTGATGGAAGGTACTAGCATGAAAAGGATGTGATCTAAATAATCTTCCATGAAAGCGTCCACCTCTAGGTTCATGTCGAAGAAAGGAGATTCGAGAATGTTTGTTAGTCCTTGATCATCATATAAAAAGCCATGGTCGACTTCCGGATCGGCCATGCATAGTGGGGACGTCGGTTGGAGAAGAATAATCTTGAGATTTGTGAGGAGTGAAGAAGTAGTGGAGGATGACCTGGGAGGCTAAAAGGGCGGCTAGGGTTAGGTTTCTCTTTGGAATGGGCTAAGTGGTGAGGGGAAATTAATGTTAAAGGAAATTTGAATTTTTCATATTTTGAAAGAGGGAAAAGTTAATTTGCAACTTAAAATTATCCAAATATAATGATTTGCTAATTAATTGTGGGCCCTGTAGGATTAACTCTTGATTTAAATCAAATCTGAAATTAATTAAGATTTTGATTTATTGGGAGAGTTTCCTAATTAAATTTGAATAATAGGGAAAGAGTTTTGAATTTCAAAGTTGATTGAATATCAATTAAATCCCTTTCTTATTTGTGGAGAGGTATTTTAGGAAAGAGTTAATGAGGGGATTGAATTTTGAAAATCAAAATTCAAACATGGGATGGGCCGGCGGCTTGGGGTGATTTATTGGGTGGTGGAGGCGGTGGTGGTAGGGAAACTGACAGGTGGAGGGAGGGTGGAGGTCCGTTGGCTGGGTAGGGTAGGGGGATGGCCGACGGATGGGTAGGAGTGAAAAATCATAGGGAATTTAAAGGGGGGGAGGGCGGTCGGCTGTAGGAAGGAAATAGGGTGGTGGTGGTGAGGTGGGGAAGAAGAAAGCAAAAGGAAAATAAGATTAAAAAAAAAAACCAAGAGCTCACCTAGGTGGTTGTTGGGTACTCCAATGGAGCCTCTCCTAGGCCTCCTTCCTCTCAAGCTCACAAACCATGAACTCAAAGAAATCTGAAAAAAATTTGTTTATTCATCATATCTTCATACAAAGTAAATGACCTCTATATATATGTCTCATCAAAAGAAAACAAAAGGACTCAAATGCCCCATGGGCTACAACAAAGACTCAGCACTCATAAGGGTAAAATAGTAAACTAAAAATATTAAATAAAATAATACATGACAAGACATAAAAAATATAGGCTTCGAATTGTAGCCATCGATCTACGATTCCTCCGAGACTGATGTTCTCATCATTCTCCCCGAGTGGGAGAAAACTCGACCCCGTCGAGTGATCATCTCTTGAGCTCTCGTACCACTCTAGTAAGTCGGAGTCCAATCGCTATAGCTTGTCACGGTCAATCCATGTGTTCTCCGTATCCGGTTTCCCTGTCCATTGAACTAGATACCTTTGTCGACCACCGTCTCTAATGGAAATGATTTCATCACTAAGTATTGCCTCAATCTTCTTCGTATTGGGTAAAGTAGGTATTTTGGGGAGTGGATGTAGGTTAGGGTTCTCACCAGGTGAGTTCACACAATGCTCATTATTTAGTGGATTGGAAGGGTTAAACTCTGGACCCTCAAAGGCTACAAGATCTTCGATGTTAAATGTATGATTAATGTTAAAATCTTTGGGAAGGTCTAACACATAAGCATTACTATTTATTTTTGCTGTTATTTTGAAAGGTCCAGTGCTTCTAGCATGTAACTTTTTAACGGTCCCTTGTGGGAACCGCTCCGGACGAATCTGAACCATTACAAAATCTCTAATATTAAATTATTTGAATCGTTTCTTGAGATCTGCATTAAGTTTATAACTAGCATTGCTTTGGTTAATCTTTTTATTAATATCCTTATGCAGTTCTTGTAAATGCAATGCAAATACAGATGCAGACTTAGATGCTCTAAACTTGGGACCCATAGGGATTAAATCTATAGGTTGTTTAGGTTGGTATCCATAAACAATTTCAACGGGACTTAGACCTGTAGTTCGATTGACAGAATTATTATAGGAGAACTCAGCTATAGGCAATTTGGAATCCCAATCCCGGATATTTTCTCCTACCAAAGACCTTAACAGATTTTCTAGACTCATGTTCACAACCTCAGTTTGTCCATCTGTCTGGGGATGGAAAGCAATATAAATTTGAAGTTTGGTCCCCATCTTGTGTCATAAGGTTTTTCATAAATAACTAGTAAACTTAACATCTCGATCTGACACAATAGTTTTGGGTAGTTCGTGGAGTTTAACAATTTCATCAAAATACAATTTGGCGATCCTAGAAGCATCGAAAGTTTTGGAGCACGGGAGGAAGTGAGCCATTTTAGAGAATCGGTCTACTACCACACACATATAGTCTTGCATTCTCACTGTTTTGGGTAGCCCTAAAACAAAGTCCATGCTAACATCTTGCCATGGGCAGTTGGGTACTGGAAGGGATGTGTAAAACCCAGTGTTTAGCTTACGTTGCTTTGCTAACTGACAAGTGTGACATCTCTTTACTAACATACTGACATTGCGCTTAAGGCAAGAAAAATCGGTGCTCAACAGCGGCGATGGTTTTGGCTTGTTAAAAATGTCCTGCTAAACCTCCCGCATGCAGTTCCCACACGAGTAATTCTCTAAGCGAAGTGTTTGGGATGCAGAGTTTGTAGGACTTAAAGAGATATCCATCTTCTAAAAGGAAATCATCAATGATGCATTCACTTCCGTTGACCAATAGTGCATACGTGTATTTGAAGTCTGGGCACTCCAAAGCAAACTCTGCCACAGGGTTCAAAACATCC